CGTGTTGGTAGTGAGCGATGACTAGGAAGCAAAATCCATCTCTCTCTCTCTCTCTCCCGTTGATTGATTGATTGATTGATTGATTGATTGATTGATTGATTTGTTTGTGGGGGAGGGGTCGCCCCCCCCCCCCCCCCCCCCCCGCCCCACCCCCCACGCTCACACACACACACACACACGCACGTAGTACTATATAGTTCCATGCTCTAGCGGAAGATTGATTTGATTTTGCTCATCCTATCGATGGAAGTAGCATGTGGCCATTCGCTGGGTTGGAGACTTACCTGTTAGCCGGTGCGTTGCTCATCCTATCGATGGAAAACTCTCTCTCTCTCTCACTCTCTCTCTCTCTCTCTCTGTCTCTTGAGAACTTTCTCTCTCTCTCTCTCTCACACACACACACACACACACACACACACACACACACACATGCGCAGACGCACACACACACCCACACGCACACACCCACACGCACACATGTGCGCACGCACACACACACATACACATTGACACAGACACATTCACACACGCACACATTCACACATCATCACACATCATCACACACGCACGCATTCACACACACACACACACACATACACACATTCACACACACACACACACACACACACACACACACACACACACACATACACACGTTCACGCACACATACAAAAAACAATACTTTTTTTTTTTTTTTCATTGCTTGATTGTTCCTTATTACACAACCAAAAAAACGAAAAAAAAACAATATAAAATCGAAGAAGACAAAGAACTGCCAATAAAAAATCCCAAAAAATCCAAAAGCCTAACTCAGTGGTACACCCATGAACCGTTGAAATACAGACCAGAATTCGAATTTATGGTTCTAGGTGAATCAAACCAGATATTTCTGAATTGCTTGAATTGCCTGGGACCGGTCAGCTCAATGACGATATCTCAAGGCTGTCGTCCTCTTTTTTTTGTCTTTTTTTTTTTTAATCCCAAAAAAAATTTCCTTTTTTTTAATTTCTCTTCTTGATGTTTTTTTTTTTTTTTAATTTTTTTTTTACAATTCCCTAAAATTAATTGTTTCCTTCAAAAAAATATGGGTTGTAGGGTTTGAAAAAAAAAGCGACAACCCCATATTCTTTTATTGTTTTTTTTTTCGTACTTGCAACCGCATGAGCCGCACATTCGTGCGGAGTTCCGTGCGGGGGGTGCCTGTGCGGAATCTTGTAGGTTTTTTATTTTTATTATTATTATTTTATCTTTTTTTGGGAGGGGGAACAGGGGGGCGTATGACAGGAAGATGGGGATATGGCGAGGAGAGGGGGATCATATGGAGAGGAGGAGGAGGAGGACGACGTGGATAGAGAGGACGACGAGGAGGAGGAGTCGAGATGGGGAAGGAGAAGAGATGGACGGAGGGAAAAGAGTAAGGGCAGGAGGAAGAGGACGAGTGGGAGGAGGAGGAGACATGAACGGCGAGGAAGGGGAGGACATGAGGAAGGGAAGGAGATGAGGAGGCATGGAAGATGGGGAAGTACGAGGAGGAGGAGGATTCAAGGAGGATGGGGAAGGGCAGGAGGAGGAGGACGAACAGGAGGAGGAGGAGGAGACGAAAAGGAGAAGGGAGGAGGAGACATGGAGGATATTGAGGAAGTGGAGGAGGAGCAAGGTGAGGCAGTACTCCTGTAATTTTTTTTTTCATCTCGCTTACAACTTTGGCGGAGGGCCTCAAAAGCACCATTTCGAACCCGGCCTTTTTTTTTTTTTCTGAGGGAGGTGATGGGTTGTTCTCCGCACACGCCGTGCGCCGCACGGGATCGGTTGGGCGCGTGCGCCACACGTAGGGAACTGCCTGCACGACGTGCGCTTGCAAGTATGTTTTTTTCCTATTATTTTCGACGGGAAAAATCTGTGAAAAACGTGACCGCTATTCGGCCGACGCCAGCCGCGGCCGCGGCCCTGAACGTGGTCGCCCTCCAAGCTTGACCCCGTGGCCGCGGGCGCGGGTGATACATAGCCCAAGAGAAATCCGACGAGTCAGATCAACAAAAACTCGGGGCATCGGAAGATCATTTGGCTACGGAAGTTGGTCCATCACAGTTAGGGAGTGAAGGAACCAACGAGGTTCGGTGCGGGTGATGTTGGGGCGGCGCTTGCAAGACCCTGCGCGACACCGGGGCGGCCCTCTTCGTGGGGTACCGGGAACAGTACGCAGTACCGCCCAAGTGATCGTTGGGCCGGAATGAAGAAGTGGTCTATTTCTACGGCAGGCTGTGCGCATGGCCTTCATCCGTCTTCTGTCGCCCGCTTCATCATCGGTGTCCTCCATCACTCGTCATCCCGCATCGCCCTCGCCTGTGCTCGGAACGCTGGTGCACATTGTGTCCTCGCTAGTCACATGTTCAACCGGGGATAGGTATGGAGTCAGCGGCCATGTCTTGCACTCCGTATGATTGGGACGACTCCACTTTGCTTTCGGTTGTCATCCTACTTCAGTGAATGAACAACAGGAATGTGGCGGCGATGGCCGTCCTCCAGACTGCCGCCTCGTTGCCGGTGGGTGTGCCAGGCATGTCCACCTCCATCTTCGTTCTCACAGGCGCAGTGCTGAACAGCATGTCCTTGACATCCATGGCAGCCAGTGCGTTTGAAAAACACATAGACAGCCGACGACGGAGATGGGTGTTGGCACGTAGTCACTGTGGAGGAGTTTGGAAGGACCTGCAGAGGGTGGGAGGCAGGCACGAGAAAGTGTTCCGGTGGTTCTGCAGACTTTCTAGGTAGCTCTTCAACGACATCCTGGCTTGCATACCGAGCTCCACCAGCAACTCGCTATGCACGTCGGCGGATGACACACACAACGCTTTGAGCATCCACCACTGTTGGATCCGCCGCTATGGCGGATGATCATGGACGGAAGAACGACGGTGAAAGCCCCATGCCACCTTGCGCATGGCAGGAGTTCTCCGACAGGGGGGTGGGCTGTACGCTGCCGAAAACGAGCTCGCGAGCCAGTGCATGAGCACTTCGGAAAGTGGACTTCAACGGGGAGGTGCAGCGATGGAGGGCGGACACAGCATGCATGCCACACACACACATGCACACACACACACACACGCACGGACACACACACACACACACACACACACACACAAAAAAAAAAAAAAAAAAAAAAAAAAAAAAAAAAACTATGCAAGTGCGCACGCTTGTGATGGACACACATGCACGTATCCAGCGAGGTGGTCGATGGCCGTCGTCTACCCAAGCTTCGAATCACCTCCTTCACGTCGGCTGTCTGTTGATGCCAACGGTATGCTCACACCCGCCCGTTTATTCCCCGCGCTTGCAGGACCACGAAATGTGGGCCCTGTGACACCGTGTGACAGCACCCAGGTGACACCACCCTGCTCCAGGACCGGAACAAGACCTACGGGCGGACACCTTCTCGTCTGTCTGGCGGACGAGACCTTGAAAACATTCGAGATGTTGCCGCCCTCCACACACTTCACTACGCACAAATCAGGGCGAGAAACTCTCCCGCGGGACTTTTGCGGGCCGCAAACGATGTGAAAATGGTTTCGGATCCTTTTCCAAGTGGGGTGCCGGAAACAGCTCTGCGGAAGAAATCGCGAATTCCCACAACCTCTTCTGCAGGTTTTGGGGTCCCAGAAACATTTCTGCGGCAAAGTTTTTCCTTTCCGCATTCCTGTAGCGTCCAGGCCTAAGTGAGCCCCTCTTGAAGGCTCCATCTATTGAAGGGGAGCTGCACCTGCAAAAGCTGGGTCCAGCGTCCCATTACTGGCAGAAAGGAGTTTTGAAAAAGGCTTCACTGTCAGTGGGTGCAGGCCATTTTTTAAACAATTAGCAGAATGGCATCATAGATGTTTTTTCCAAAAAAAAAATAAAATAAAAGGAAAAGAGGCTTTTTGGCCTTGCTTTTTGCTTAGTAATACTCTTTCCTGTACCGGCCTTGGCGAGCCATGCTTGCATCTATATATCTTTTCTCGTTATTTTTGTTTGCTGTACTATTTTTTTTTTTTTTTTTTTTTTTTTTTTTTTTTTTTGAAAGAGTAGCCCCTTCTATTCTGGGGGGCATCAGTCCGGCTGCTCATCACCGGCAAGCCTGGAAAACAAAGTACAGTTTGGTTTGAAAGAGAAGAGGAAAGCCTTGCCCTTGCGGCCCTAGACGCCTTTCAAGGGGGGGATTGCTACAACCAAAACCCACTTCCCATCAGAAGTTATTTCTTTTTCATGGATCCTGGACTTTGATACAGAGGTGAGGGAGGCTCCACCTTGCATGGAAGGTTGGAAGCCAAACCCCCTTCAATTTTCTACCATTTTTGGATCATTTATATGTGCTTCCCTTAGGCACCGGGCCTCTTGGGGGAAACAAAAAGGGATTTATACCACTAACAAAATGACAATGTCATAAAGGGCGTCGTTAGACACTCCTTACGAGTTCCTTGAGCCACAATGAATTTTCCTTGTGGCTCGTAAGGTTGTTT